AGAAAGCCGGCCGTCACAACCAAAGCCTTGCAAGTACTGTTGGAGGAGGCCATGGTGTTAACTCTTAACTCTTAGCTTTAAGTTTTAGGAGAGTTTGGTTTTCGGATGAGGCTAACTGGGGAGCAAAACCACATATTTATTATGGCATTTGCAAAAATGGGAAAAATTGGGTGTCTATTATTCGCGAGTAGTGGGGGTGAAGTGCGTGGGACTATTCTTTCGCAATCATTTTGGAAGCCATTTATAGTGAAAATATATTATTTTCATTCTCAACCAATTTATTTTTAGGTGACGTTTCTATCTCAATAAAACTATGTCCATGAAGTTAATTCAGTGGTTGATATAAGTGTGTATTTATACATGTTGATTAAATTGATATTCAATATTCTACTGTGAAGCTAAACGGTATTAGTTGAACCACTGTAAAATGATTCTTCTTCCCATTTCTTAACTTTACTATTATTTCAAATACAAAATGCATAAAAGTACTGATTATGCTTTGTTGAGTTTCTACTTTTTTTTTTCACCTTAAACTACTTTTTGTCTTCTAAGATAGCGTGTAGTAAAGACTTGGAGCTTTAGAGTATCACTTACCTTGAGATTATAGGATTCAATTAACGTTTAAGTCTATAGAAGTTAGGATTCACGTGATTTAGTTATGTTTGGAATGTTATAAAAGAAGGAAAACATTAGGCTACTCACTAGTAAGGAGGAATCTTGTTCATACCATCATTTAATATTTGACAATTAAAAAAGATAAATACAAAAACAAAAAAAATGTTTTTAAAAAATGATGAATTGTCAAATATTAAATGTTGGTGTGGACAAGATTCCTCCTTACCAGTGAGGAGCTAAGTATTTTTCATAAAAAAAAATAAGGTAGAGTTAACCTAATGCGGTACTAAATAAAATAATATACAACACAGTGACCTTTCAACTTGAAAATCCTAATATAAATAGAATTTTGTAATTATATTTTAAAAGAAACTACTAAAAGATATAGTGTGGTTGCAATAATTCATTTAATATCCAGATATACCTTAAATCAATTAATTAATCAATTAAATTTTTTTTTTGTAAAATCATTTTTCAAGATTTTGAATATTTTACAGGGGCCATGATGGGAAATTGCATTGGCGTGATGAATAATGTGTCCACTAGGATGTTTGTGTATTGGACATGGTCGATCTCTCATCATCTCTCATTTTTCAAAAATTTAATTTCCTTTACTCATAATTATTCAAATAATATCTCACGGCGGACGTCATAAATACCATTAAAGACGAACCTAATTATTCGAAGAAAAAAATTTAATTCATTCATTTGGATTCACCCTCAATTATTTCAAAAAATGACGTAACTAAAAATTTATATTTTTATCTACGTAGTGAATAAATTAGAAGAAATTCTTTTAAATATAACTTCATTTTCTTTTTTAGAATAATCTCTTGAATGTAAGATAAAAGAAGCAATGTAGAAAACTTAGGTTGTTAACGTACAAGTTAAGGCAACGTCTCTAAGATAGAAATAGAAAATTAAAAACAAAATAGTTATCAAATTGAGTATAAATAACTTACAAAATTGTTATCAAATTAAGTATAAGTAATTTAGGTTATCGTGCATAAATCTTACTTTTTTAGTAAGTTATACAGAAAATTAATTACAAAAGATATTATGTTAGAATAAAATACAGATTTTACCAATGAAAGTTAATTTATGGGGAAAATGAGTTTTTATAGACTCCTCCCCACTCCTCCTCCCATGACTCGATGGATGTGGAATAGTGGGAGTAGGACAATTTTTTTTTCCTTAAATAACGTAATTATTTAAGTAACAAGTTGCGGTAATTGACATATACCTCCAACCATGAGGTTGTAGGATCGATTTTCCACCTCTCACATACTTAAAAAAAACTCATTTCACTCCCATCACGCCTCTTTTTCTCCTCCCTTTTCATCCATACGTTTGATTTTTATGACTTTTTAGTGGTCTATCTTATTTTATTTTATGTATATTAATTTAAAAGATAATGATTTTTTTATACCTATATTTTATATTCTTAATAACATTATAGTATAATACATATCTATTTAAATTAATAGAATAAATTATAACATAAAACTACCACACAATTCATATGAACTCATTTAAACAATTTTCATTGAAATTTAATATATTTGCCATTATTTTGTCCAAACTTTTTGTCGATGTTCAAAATTTCTATAAAAATATTACTATTATTTTTACTTAGGAGGATTAAAAATAGTCAATTATAATCAAATTAAATCACAATTTAAGTTCCACCGGCAGATTCCCAATAATTTCTATAAAATTCCATGATTTCTAAAATATTTGTTGACGTGGATATTTTCATCAACATTTCCGTAAAATCAGGAGCTCGACATTTTAATCGACATCGATATTTCAAACTTTAGCGTTGTGAGCTTTTTACTTGTACTAGTTAGATTCACGTGGGTTAACATTTTTAGAATATAATTTTTTACGGTGATTTTATATTTGAATGAATATACATTTTATTAATGCTTAACTATTAAATATTTTACATAAATTTTTAAAATAATGAAAGCGAGAAAATAATAAAAAAATATCATAGATAATTAAAGTGTAAGTTCATATATATGTATAACGTCATACCTTTTTTAGAAGAAATTTTTTCATGTTAATAGTTGATACTAAAATTCGAATTAATCTTCTTTTAAAATAATAATATACTACATGATTGACATAAAAAAAGTTAAAAATTAAAAAAAATGTGAATTATGTGAATCGTGGAATAGCCATGTAAGGATAAATAGGTAATTATTGTATTCAAAAAGTGGAGTAAGTAATTTCTTTTATTTATTCAAGATATTTTTTGTGGGAGATCTTTATTAAAAGAAATGTAAATTCTTTAGTTTTTTCTTTTAAATCTTTATGATTATTATTTTTAAAAAAAATTGTATTTTCATGAAAGAGATATTGGGTTACATTCTAAAATTATGAAATATATTTCACTTATAACACTTTTAGAGGCAAGAAAATAATTACTTTAAACCTAATTTTTAAATCTCTGTTAAATTTGTAGTTTTTGAAAAAAAAATCTACCTCTTATTTTTTAAATCTTTTTATGACGGCTTGTTTTCATAAATTATTGTCTATTATATTTTAAAATTGTTAGTAATATTTTATCTAGTCAAAGAAAATAAGATATTAAACAAATTAGAAAAAAAAAATAATGATACTATAAAATTTTATCATTACAAATTTTAGGAAAAATAAATCATATGCACGAAAATTTTCTGAAAAATGTTTGACACAATGACATTGTTGTAGAATTAATATTTTTTTAAAATCTAGAAATATACATATGATTTAAAATGAAAAAAAAAAGTTCAATATAGATCAAATAATAAGTTAGTTTGAAATTAAAAAAATCGAAACTTGTTGGTATGAAAAAATGAGGAGGTTGTTGAAGATAATAGAAGGAAAATAAATGAATTAAAAAGATAATTATAAAATTTCATAAAAAGAATAGATTGATGACTTACTTTTCATATAATCTGGAGTTCTTGTTGATTTTTTTTTCACGAAATTTGTAGGACCTCCAATTTTTGTTGATTTTCCTTCAAGAATTTGATAAGATCTCGGACTTTGAGTGTTTTTTCTTCTAGAAGATGATTTGATGTTCTCTTGTTTTGTTGGTTTTATGACCAATTAAACCTAAATGTGATCACAGTATACAAATTATTAATCAAAGCTATCACATCAGCTTAGAAACCCAAGTTAATTAATAAAAAAAATTCTAAAAAATAACGAAAGAGATGTAAACCATACATAAACAAATTCTAAGAGTAGTTAAAACCAACATCAATTAAGAAAGTCACATTTATAATAGATACGAACATTCAAATTAAATATCAATGAATTATTTGATCAAAGTAAAAAACTTTCATATACATTCTTGAGGAAAGAAAAAAGAACAGACATAATTTTTATGTATGACCATTTTAGTTTTTTTTCACTTTATAGATAGTTTGCAATTGCATCTGTATGTGAATAGACGCATTACGTTGAAGAGTTGAACTTCTATTATATTAACTTCTCATTTTAATGTGTGAAAGGATGTGTGACACAATTTTCTAATCTCCTTCACACCAATATGCGAATAGGAAAACTCTTCGGTCTTGATCACATCGATTCTCTCAATAGATACCTTGATCCAAATAATCAAATCTCATAGAAATCTGAAAGACAAAATAGACATGTGTAAGACATGCCTATTGGATCAATAAACATCTCGACCAATCACATCACCTCGAAGTTTAAAGGGCAAAATATGTATATTAAAAAATATCCAAATAATCGAATCTAATAGAAATCTGAAAGGCAAAATAGACATGTGTAAGACATGTTTATTGGATCAATAGATACCTCAACCAATCGCATCCCCTCGAAGTTTGAAGGGCAAAATTGATATATATTAAAAAATTGAGGGCAAAACTGGTAGAAAAAAATTCTCCTCAACAGCTTCATTTATATATAATATAGATTAGTTAAATAAATATATATATATATATTTTTAAAATGTCGGCAGTATTTCACTAAAATATGTGAAAAGATCGATATTTTACGATATTTTGTCGAAGTGGACGATATAGGGGTAAAAGCTTTTTCCCTTGTTGGATAGCGACATGTCAACCAAAATGTCGATATTTGCTATGACTTTTAGAACTGTACTTTCAACAAACTTCACTATCCTAATATAAATAGAATTTTGTAATTTTTTTTTAAGAAATTGTTAAAGGATAGTGTGGTTGCAATTCATTTAATATCAAAGATAAACCTTTTATTTCTTTTGTGCAAAATCCTTTTTTCAATATTTTGAAAATAACATTGCAGGTGCATGGTGGGAAATTGGATATATTGGAGAGATGAATAATGTTTCCACTAAGATATTCGTATATTGGGCGTCGGCAAAATCTCATTATCTGTCATTTTTCACAAATTTAATTTGCTTTATTCTTAAATAGTTTCAGGTTCACTATAACATGAGAAATATCACTAAAGACTTAATTTTTATTGGAAAATTAAGTGAAATACTTCATACTATTAGATCCAATTTTTGGTAAGTTGGTCGGAAGTCGGTGAATCGGATCAACTGTCGAGTGATCAAAGAGAGGTTGGATCTAGCTAGAAGAAACAGAAACCCAGTAGGTTGTGAGCAAGAGAATGATGAGATCTTGTCGTTTGGGAGTACAGGTGAAAGCGTCATTATATGAGTTTAAGAGAAGAAGAGAAAGAAATGAGCAAGTTTTGGGTTGAATTGTTTGAGGGAGAATGACATACCTCCTTTCTATTTATAACTTTTGGTGGCAGTGTAAACGAACCCTTGAAAAGTTAATGAGGCTGTTAAAGTAAACTCCCGCACTATATTCGGCTCTATAATGAGACCAATAGAGACAAAACGGAGTAGGTGGATCCATGTCTGAAATCTGCAGCCTAAATGATACCATGTTGGTGGTGGCCCAAAACGTGCACAAAGGTGGGTTGGCGACCCAATGGGCCGCACAAGACTCAAGGCCCACCATCCTTGAGATGGTGGGCCGCAGAAGAGCCCCCCAGCCCTTATTGTGCGGCTGGAGGGTTGATTCTGTAGCCGCGCATTGTGCTGCCAGCGCACATGGTTTGTGCGCCGGTCTTTGGGTAACAAGTTGGGCCATTTTGGGCCCAACTTTCCTCCAATGGCCCTCCAATCTTTTGGGCATTTATTGCCCAGTTTTTAATGACCCCAATGGTGCCCCCACTTCCGAGTTGGGTGAATTAGATCGCCATTTACATGAGTCGAGGGGTAGCCAAACTTCGGAAGTAGTATTTTTGGGCAGCGAAACTTCGGAAGTAGTATCTTTAGCTCGATCCGATAAGTTTCTAATCACCGTTAAACTTTGTCTTTGAACATTGAGCTTACAATCGTTGCTTTATGCTTGATTAAAGCAAGGCGATGCTGAGATAGCACTTGAAGTTGAGATAGTTTTCAAGATTAAGATAGGTCTCGAGGTGGAGATAGTTTTTGAGGTCTAGATAATGCTTGAGGTCGAGATAATTTTCGAGGCTGAGATGGTTCTCGAAGTCGAGATAATGATTGGGGCGTAGGTAACACTCAAGGCGGAGAGGTTTCTCGAGGTCAAGATAGTGCTCGAGGCTGAGATGACCCTTGAGGCCGAGATAGTTTGCGAGGGCGAGATGTTTGAGGTGGCGACGAGGGCGTGATGGTCTGGTGCGACCGTGGTGGCGAGGTGGAACTGAAGGCATCGCCCCTTGCGCGGTTGTGGTGTCCAAAGACGTGGTTGTTCCATTGTATGATCGAGGTGGTCGAGAGTGTGGCCTCCCTGTGTGGCCGTTGTGATCGAGATGGCACCAAGGGCATGTAGTTGATTTTTTTCTAAATAATCAAATAAATAATTAATTAATTCTTCAAGAGACGATATCCCGACTAATTAAAGCTACAATCATTTTTAAAATAATATTAAAAAATGCCCCATTCAAAGGTGGAGTTTTTTTCTATTTTGATAACAACAAAGTAAAGTGGTTCCCTCTCGTATTTATTTATTTGTTAACATCCATGATTCGAAATTAAAATTATGAGATAACTTGTTGAGATTATAAGCTCATAAAGTAATTATATAAAAGTGTCGCTTATGCTCTTGAAAATGGCTTTTAAAAAAAATATATAAATATAAATATATATATTATTATTATTTTGGGAAAGCGACATTTTAAGAACGTAATTGATAATTTAATAAGCTTATCAGCTTTTTGGAAATAAAATTCAAATCCTAGTTAAGTTTCTCTAAAAAAAAATTGAAAAATCCATTTTTTTTATTTTGAGTGTTGTTAATGATTTAAAAGTGTCTAAAAATTGAAGGAAACGTTAAAGCGAGCATAGCTCAGCAGTAATTGGTACATATCTCTACCCTCCTACAAACAAAAAAATTATGGATGAACAATTATAATAAAAGGTTTAATTTCAAAGTGAATATTCCTTCCATTTTGATAGATATATTTATTTAGTCCTTAAGGGCTGTTTGTTTTTTGGAAATATAGATGTCTCAAATTTTAGATTGTCCGACATCTTCAGATAATCTCGTAGAAATATTTATAAGGATATTTGAGAATATTTGAATAGTAACGTTGGTTTTGTAGGATTTATTCTCGGAATGTGTTAAATTTATAGAATGTTCAAAAAATACCCTTACGAATATTTATATAATTTATAAATTCATTTAATATAATAAATCTATTTGAATTAATTAATTTTTTTATGTTATTTTGTAGAACAAATTAATTCATATTTTACTTAATATATATTTCATTTTCAACTTTAATAATTTTCCAAAAAAACAATCATATAATTTATACTATCTTGGGTGAAATTTATTTATCCTATCACCACATTATATTTTTTAGGAAGAAAAATATCACTGATATATTGGTTGTAAAATATATTTATGATAATAAATATTATTAATAATGTAATTCCTTCAAAATAAATGGAGATATTATATAATTTAATTACAATTTATTTTACATATAAATCTAATGTAAAAATATACTCAATAACATAAGAGTACATTAATTTATTTTAATTATAAATTTAAAAAATTAAAATAAAGAATTTTTTGAGGAAAAATTAAAAAAAAATTGATGAAAGAAAATATATGGACAAAAAATGAAGGGCAAAAATGTAAAAATGGATACCCTCAACACAAGAATCTTGAAAACCCATGTTTCAAAACGACATCCAAAACTCGGTAAGATGTCTACCGTATGAGCATCCTAGCATACTCGAGTATCTCAAGATTTTCACGTGTAGCTTACATCCCCGCAAAACAAACGTGAGAATCCAGATGTCTGTCCAACGGGAATGTCGGATTCTCACGAAACAAATGGTCCCTTGAAGTTTAATAAAATTTAAGTATCTTTTCGAACTTAGATTACAATGGTTAATACTTCTAATTAAATGGTAACATGACATCTTTAATTAAACAAATTTTGATTGATTTGACCCAATATAATAGACAAATGGTGGAAAGAAGTGGTCATTGAATACAATAAACACACCTACACAGTTTATGTGGACGAGATGATAATAATTTTTTTTAATTCAACAAATTAGGTGTACAAGAGTTCAAACTTCCGACATCAAAGGAAAAAGTATCTATTATGGTTGAGTTATACTCATATTGACACGAGATTAATAACAATTACACATTATGAAAAAAAAATGTGGAAATCGATTAATGTCAAAAGTAAGGTTGCCACAGAGATTTGAAGCTATTTTCACAAACTTCATATTTTTTTCAAATTACTTTATGCTTATTATCTTTCCCTTGTAAGTTGAGATAAAAACAATAGGTCCAATAATAGTATGCTCCAAACACTTCAATTGTGACATTGTTTCTCATTGATAGAAAGTCATTTTAAAGAAACATGATTATTATGAACGAAATTTGAAAGTGTAACTTAAAATGTGATTATGAATGAAGTTTGAAAAGGCAACTTTAATTTATTCAATATCTTAAATATTAGAAAAAGGACGCAATACCATACATGCTCTGATAATGGCGTCAAGTCCTTCAAGTCCACAAACAGCGGCATCCTACGAACCCAACGATCAAGCTAATATGCGTGTAGATATGGGAACAACTAAAAAATTTTAACACACACTCGATCTTATCTTTTTATTTGAGTAAAATTTCATAGCATAATTATAACATAAATATCATTTTCTCATGTAGCTATGGGCTGCTTGCCTTTGATCCTCATGGGAGGGTGTACTCTGCAAAATCAAAACCATATTCACACATTTAATGCTATTATATTGATAATATATTTACTTTATTTTTTCGGAAGGATACTTTAATTTCCCTTAATAAGCTATTGAATAACAAGAAAATAAGATATTGTATCAAATATATTGTTTACATACCGAAGTATAGCATTTACTAAATGAACAAAGGTCAATTGCCAATCATATTATTTTTAATAATTATGTCAACTTTATTTCAATTCACCCATTAATTTTTTTTTTTTTTGAAAAGGTCAATTTCACCCCATTATCAATGAGTGATAGATTTACCAACCGAGTCACTGTTAAAATTACCGAATCTTAGGAAATATTCAATTTATTAATTCCCTTGTTTTAGTTTAATCCTTATTTGGTCAGATATTTTTATTTTGGTCTCTAAATTTTTAATATATCTATTCTAATTTCTTTTTCTAATAAAAGAAACTATTTTCTTATCCTTTACATGAACTTTAAAAACACAACTATTTTAGTTTTTGTCAATATTATTATAGCATCTAGAGGCTCCAATACGTGTCTAGGCTACAATGCACGTCAATATCAAAATACTAATAAACATTAAACATATGGAAAATACTTAGTTTCACACCTGTCAAGATCAAATAGAATTGGCCTTAACACGTTAGGAGTCAAGTATTTTCACGTATTTAAAAAAGTAATATAATAGTATATATTTGTTAAATGATTAACATAAAATAATAATGATATAAAGAACAAAAAGATTATAGTACTCTTTTAAGTATAATGGATGTGTGGATGAAGAATGAGGGGATTGGTAATGAGCTTACTTCCACACTTCTTGCCGGCGGGACGGTTTTTGATATTGCAACGTTTGGGGATGGTAATGGCAACGGCCGGGTTGATTCCGGCTTGCTTAGCCATAGGCGAAAGAAGAATGGCGCACAGGCATTTGGGAGTAGTATTAAACATCCCCGCCACCTTGCTGCAGCACGCCGCCGTAACCTTAGCTCTCACATCCTTGACTGCCCCCAAGCACGGCGTCAGGCTCACCGCGGCCAACCCGACCGTCATCTTCCCGCACTCTCCGGCCGCCCCGGCTCGGTGAATGAAACCCTCCGAAGCCACCAGAATCAGAAGGCCGGCAGCCACGATCAAAGCCTTAGAAGTAGTGCTGAAGGAAGCCATGGTCCTAGCTATAGCTTTGCATAATAATCACGTATTTATACTACACTAATCACTATGTGAAAACATGGGCAAAAGTGGGTGTTTATTTGCGAGTAGTGGGGTGGTTGTGGGGAGAAAAATCTCGAACAAGTGCGTGGGAATTCTTTGCTTCAGTTTTTCTTATGGTACAATCATTTGGAAGCCATTTATATTGAAAATATTTCCTTTCTCATCCATATTTTAGGTGAGGTGTTTGAGTTTACCTAGAGTACAAAACTAACTCCGAAGTTAGGATTATGATATATAAGAGAGGATAATTATCTCCAGAAGAATTTTTAAGTATGATACCAAAACGCACAATATCATGGTTGTAGAATGTGTATTTATAGGACGTCTTTCAAATCACGGTTTTAATGTAAGTTCAAGTTTATGAAGTTTTGGATTTGTATTCTTTGTGTTTGGAAGTGCACATTGGAATAAGATTATGCTTGATAAGGATTTCATTATTTTAGTGTCATGCTTTTAGAAGTTAATTCATCTTTTTTTAGAATATTTTAATTTTTTAATTAAAATATGAAAAATAATAAATAAAAAGGAAAATTGTTATGAAATGGAGCCTAAGTAATTTAGGTTATTATAAAAAAAAATACCAAATACAAACATTCTTACAAGTTTGAATTTATATATGACCGGTGAGATTATAACAAATTTGAAAATAAGTAAACTCACACACCAACCTCAAATTTTTGTAACTTAGCATAAATAGAACATGTTTTTAAACACACTATATAGTAACGTTGGTTTCCTCAACAAAAAAAAAGAATATATAATAAATAAATAGAACATCCTAATATAAATAGATTTTTGTTATTTTTTATAGAAACTTTTCAAAAATAGCAATTGCTATTCATTTAAAATCAAGATAAGCGATCTTTTTTGTGAAATAATTTTTTCAAGATTTAAAAATAACATTATGTGGTGCAAATTGCATAGTGGGAAATTTTATTGGAGTGGAGTGATGAATAGATATGTTTCCACTAAGATACAGGTGGATCATGAGCGTTACACGCGTTAAGGCAGAATTATGAACACTTGTTATTGTGTAGTTGATCACGCCGTGGCGGGCAGTAAAGTGAAAATCCTATATTTGTATTTATATTTTATAGCCTTTAATTTTTTTTTTCTTTTAGTATTTAATAGGCTTTAAATTAAATCTAAGGTCGGTTGTTAATTGTTATAATAATCAACAGCAAGATTTCTCAGCAAATCAACTCATTTGAATTAATTAATATAATTTTATATGTTGATACTTAGTTTTATATATAAATATTCATAATATTACATTTCAAAATCGATTGGATCAGAAAAATAATCTACCTCTATTAATAAATTTTTTATATTTTTAATACGAGATCCTTTTAACACATATGTCTGTATTATTTTTAATCTATATTAAATATTATTAACTTTTAACAAGTGCTATGAAAAGTAATAGTTACCTCTTTTTAGTATAGGGAATATATTAAAAGAATGCAATACTCTACCCCACACACATATATATATATATATATATATATATATATATATATATTCTGGTCTTTATGAAAAAAGGATGGAATGTGAACTTAACTACCATATATGTTCCATACCTATTCTAGTGTGGTGGGGCGGCCAGCCAGAGAAAATAAATTAAATAAAAAAGAATAAATAAATATGCCACATAAATTTAAAAATTACCACATCAACTATGTCATGTCATTTTTTCGTGTATTACCCATTTAACTATATATTTTAAACAAATGGTGCAACTGTAAATTTTTACGAGGGATTTAGTTTTGTATTTTAGATGTGTAAAGGATAAATTAGAAGAAAAACTTTAAAATATAACATTTTTATATAATCTCTTGAATGTAAGAGACCAAGGGTAATTTTACTTCCTAATTCCTAATTCAACATGGTTGGCATGGGTTGTGCTTCCAAGACAGAAGAAGGCTTTGGCAACCCATAGCCTATATATGGAATGAGGATCAAACTTTCCATTATTTTCACAGTTGTATGTTTTGATTGACATTTTTTTACTTGAATATTCAGACTGACCATTTCATTAATATAATATATATTTTGTAGTTATAGTTATAGGTTATAGCCATATTTAGAGGTCCTCAAAATGATTGAGTTTTACTGTTCAATCCTACCAACTTTTTATTCAATTAAACCAAATCAAATGAATATAGGAGTTAAAAAGTTGCTGCTACCCAGTCCTCCTTTCAACCATTAACCACAGGTTGCTGTTCTAGTGCCCAAGAAACCTGTTTTTCTTTCTTTCTAAAAATGGTGCAGAAATAGAATAGAAACCACGTCTTTACAGTTTACATATACATGCCAAAATTAAACTATTTTATTTCTCAATTTCACAACTCATTACACAAATATTGTCAAGTCAAGGTAGGTAAACTAACATTAGCTATAACTTAGGACCAAAACTTTTAGAAATTAAAAAATAATAATAATAACGAAAGAAATTTATTTTCTTATACTTGTTGCATCAAAATTTAGTACTATCCATCCAACGTGTGGGTGTCCTCTTCTTATTTATTTGGCAACGACGGTAACTGAAGGACCAGTCTGATTAGCAGCAAGCTTTATTTTCCTGGCCTTCGTTATATTCCTCCAATAAGTCGCAATTTCCCTCTCTGTTTCCTCTGCCGTCTTCTTCACTCCACTCTCAATTTTCCCCTTCTCACCATTTTCTGAACTATTCTTCGGTGGAAGAGTATCAAGCTCTGCCAGAACCTTAACGATATCAAGCACAAGCCGCTCCGCAAGGGTCCGAGAGAAGTCTTCTCTAATCACAACACGAAGAACTGACACGTGCTTGGCACCCTCCGGCATTGGGTACGCTGGCACGATCCACCCGAAGCGACGCAGCATCTCCGACACCTCAAACTCATCGTGGCGGCTTCGGTCTTTCAGAGAGAACGCCACCACTGGAACTCCCACGTCCTTTGACGCGATAGTGAACCGCCCTGTGTTCTCAAGTCCTTCCTTCAGAACCATTGCATTGTCGTGACAGTTTTGCATCACATTTCTGTATCCCTCGAAACCCAGACGGATCAGTTGGTAGTATTGGGCAATGATCTGGCTAGACCCTGAAAAAAATTGATYAAACAAATTATGTCATCGTTATCTCACATGGGTGGAATCCAATTCCATTCAATTCAACTTAATTGGAAGAAGTGCTCTTACCCTTGGAGAAATTGAGGGTGAATGTGGGCTGATCGGCTCCAAGRTAATTGATGTGGAAAATGAGCTCTTCCGGCAGATCCTCCTTGGTCCTCCAAATGACCCAACCAATTCCGGCGTAGACAAGCCCGTACTTGTGGCCACTYACGTTGATGCTCTTCACCAGAGGAAGCCTGAAGTCCCATTCCAGCTCTGGGTACAGGAACGGCGCTATGAACCCACCGCTGGCCGCGTCCACGTGGATGGGRGTGTCCCACCCAGTTTCCTTGTTCTTCTCCACCAGCAGATCGTTGAGCAGCTTCACATCCTCGAATTCCCCATTGTAAGTGGAGCCCAAGATGGCGGCAACGCAGATGGTGTTCTCGTC